CATCAGTTGATGAACGAGGGAGATCCCCTCATCACTATATGTCCATGCACTCTCGTCAAAGAATTGCTCCACCTTTACCAACTAGTCAACGAAATACTCAATATGAAGATGTCCATTGAAACTGGGTAGGTCAACCCTCATCTAAAAATCCTTGGACTCATGGCCAGGATCTCTGTAATTTGCAGCGTTATCTAAAAAATCATCATCGTCATCACTAGAACCTGCAATTGGTGCCGTTCTAGGAGGAACAACACGTATGATCTGTCTTGCTGGGTAAACAGGATTTTGATGTCGATTGGGTTAAACACAATCCCTATTGCCGTTCACCCTTTCTCGATCTGGATCATGGTTTGGACCCATCGTCAACTGGGCAACCATGTCTTATAGTGATTGCTAGAATTGTTGGGATTGTTGTTGTTGTTGTCGCTAGAAATCCAAGAATTTGGCTCTTGAGAAAGCCTTTCCATATGATCACCATCATTAGGAAGATTTTTAACACCTCATTGATTGGTCATCATACCAGGTTAATTAAGGCTCTGATACCAATTGACACAGTGGAACAAGAAACACAAAAAAAAAATCATTTCTAAGTGTATAGAACAATAGTACTCTGAATCCACAGAGAAATGAACAAGAAAATTTCTCTAAAAAAAATGTATATTATTCAATGAATAATTCGTATTACATAACAGAATATATATAGGAACAGTGAAAACCCTAATCGTCTCCATAATAGAGGCAAAATTTCTAATTATATGAAAATTGCCAAAAATAAAAAATTGTAATATAACTAATTAACATAACATGCATCGTTTGGAGCCTAACAAAACTAACTGCACTGAATTTAGAATTTTCTATGATTTATTATTAATTTTTGAATTCTTTTCGAAATGGCAAAAATGGGTTTTTGAAGGTCTAAACGATAGAATTCGGTCTAAAACTGAAGGAGCTCATGTCAAAGCGATGAGTTTTGATCGTTGGCTCGATTCGGATCAAACACCACTGGTCTCAATCAATTCCGCGTCCTACCCATTTTGCATCTACTATCACTTTTTTGCTTTTCGTTGGGCTTTAGACGCACGGCGGTCTTTTTGCTCCAAGTAGTCAGCCGCCACCTATTCCACATCAGATTTAACTTTGGCCCATATGCTGGAGCGATCCAACTTGGCTTGCGACACCTTTGCAATATATGCATACTCATAGACAGTCTGTTAGTAGACGTGCACGGAATGAGAAGAACTTATATTAAATCTTTTTAGCTCAAGTAGCCAAGCGAATGATAATAGAAAGCCTAAGCAGCAATTTTTCCTTTGGGAAAATTTCAGAAACAGACCATGGTCCAGAATAATCCTTTGGACTGTGGTCTTTTTGCATTGGATCACGTGCAGTGCTATGTTAGCAGATTTTACCAGCATGCATGCCCTATCTTTGCTGTTGATTCTGATTTGAGGTTATATTGGACCCTGATACCTGTGTTGACATTTCCAACTCCCCTTCCCGTGCACGCGAGTTGCCTGAAATGTGGTCATCTTGTTCTTTTGACATTTGAGGGTTGAGATTCTTCTTAAGTGTAGGTTTTCAGCCTTGGNTGCACGCGAGTTGCCTGAAATGTGGTCATCTTGTTCTTTTGACATTTGAGGGTTGAGGTTCTTCTTAAGTGTAGGTTTTCAGCCTTGGAACTTCCAAATTAAACAACTGATATGATATGATTTATTTACCTATCTTGTGAAGTATCTTCACATGTTGGAACATATCTAGAGATGTTGTTAACTCAATAGGAATCTGTCTACGTGTAATATCTTGTCTGACTTTTTGCGCTAGAGACATCTAGCATGCCCACAAGAGCTTGGTCATTCCATTAAGTATTTTGACCAACGCAAATGCTGAGTTACCTTCTCTTCTTCATGGATCAATTGGCCATATCTTTTGTGTTATTGACAACCCATTATACTCAAACTGCAACCCAGCTTGCAGATGTTTTTGCACCTTCACTTGCTATTGCAAAATGGCCCATAGGGAGCTTAGCTTTTTCTTCTGCTAATGAAACTTCTGTTCAGCAGTTGAGGAGTAAAAAAATATGAAATGTATAGATTTCCTATCCATGGCTTGGGTGATCAAAATCAGATTCCTAAGCGCTGCAGTCACGACTCATTTCCTTTTTTCTGCCAGCAGACTAATAGTTCGTTCACTACTGCAGGGGTGATAAAGAAGCGGATCAAAACAGTGCAGGGGTCGCTGATGAAGAGGATGAGCAAAGTAAGCATTTCGATGAGGAGGCTGGTCTGGGTAATCCTGATCAAAAAAAGGCAGCTGGAAGCCATAAAACTGGAGATATTAGTAAGTATGATTTGGCTTCGACTAGTGCCACGGAGAAGGTTGGTGGTGAACCTAAGAACAGGGGAAAAGATACACTAGGGAAGAAATTTTGATATAGAACAAATTATTTTAGAAATAGAGGAGGTTGGATGCTTATTAGTCACATGAAATGATCAAGCACTGCCACTGTTAAGGAAGTGGCTGATTCCAGCCACGCTGGAATTGCGCTGGAATTGCATTGGAATAAAAATATTCGNCATGAAATGATCAAGCACTGCCACTGTTAAGGAAGTGGCTGATTCCAGCCACGCTGGTATTGCATTGGAATAAAAATATTCGATTAATAAACAAATTAGGTATAAAGGCAGATGTATATGCCTAAGTGTTTTATTTTTCCTTACCAAAAAATTTAAAGAGTTGGTATTGCCTTTGATAACCGTTGTTTTGTATGGTTTTTTGGGCAATAATGTATGTTGGGCGGGCTTGAATTTGTGATTGACCTTAGCTTGCACCAACCATAGTCCCTATGGATGTCAACCAATTGAATCTTTATTGTCTATATTCGAATTCAATGAAAAATTCGAGTTCTGAATTTTATTCATTTACTTTACGGATTTTAAAACCTTAAATCATATTTGCATTCATTAATAATTGAATATCCGGTACTCTTTAACTTTTGAAGGTTTTATCTTCTTGAAATCAAGAGTTCAAGTCCACTCTTTTCCCTCTCCGAAAAAAAATTGAATATCCAATTTAATATGAAAATTTGAATTACAGCAAAAATTTATAAAAAATAAATAATTTTATCAAGTTTAAGTTAATTTTTATCCTAATTTAATTAATCAATCATTTTATTCAATAATTTTTATTTAATTTTATGTCAATCTCATTAATAACCTAACTATGTATACATATACAATAATGTCTCTCCATTATATATAATACCGAATCAAATTTTTATCAAATTGAATTTACATTTATCTAAATTCAAATTTATTTAAAAAACTTAGTTGGATTCAGGTAAATATATTAAAGGGTTAATCTCATTTTGCAACCCGAAAAATCGTTCGAATCTCAATTTACACTCCCAAAGATCAAAAATCTCAATTTGCACCCTCAAAGATAGAAATTTGTATCAATATACATTCCCAAAGATAAAAAAATCTCAATTTACACCCTCAAAAATAGAAATCTGTATCAATGTGCACCTAAAACTAAATTGATAAATTATACCTAGATCCTCTCATGTTTGTCACTTAATCATTTGAACACCTTTACATTTAGAATATTACTCATACATCTCATGACGTTTGTACATGTGTAAACATAACCACTTTTCTTTGATATCTGTTAATATAATCATTAAAAAATATGATTTTATCGTAATAAAAAATTATAATTTCATATTTCCCTTTATTTTGTGGATTCGATATACTCTAAAGTTCAAAATCAAGTTTACCATTTGAATGTCTAATAGAATGTAGATATTTATATAAAGGAAAATATGAAAAACATTATATAAATATCTACATTTTATTAGACATTCAAATGGTAAACTTGATTTTGAACTTTAGAGTATATTGGATCCATAAAATAAGGGTAATATGAAATTATAATTTTTTATTAGGATAAAATTATATTTTTTAACGGTTATATTAACAGATATCAATGAAAATGAGTTACATGTTATACGTGCATAAATGTCATGAGATATAGGAGTAATATTCTAAATGTAAAGATATTCAAATGATTAAGTGACAAGCATGAGGGGATCTAAGTATAATTTATCAATTTAGTTTTAGGTACATAATGATACAAATTTTTATATTTGAGAGTGCAAATTGAGATTTTTTATCTTTGGGGTGCACGTTGACATAAATTTCTATCTTTGAGGGTGTAAATTGAGATTTTTGATCTTTGGGGGTACACATTGATACAAATTTCTATCTTTAAGGGAGCAAATTGAGATTTTTATTCTTTGAACGATCTTTCGGGATGTAAAATAAGATTAACCCTATATTAAAATATTAAGCTATATCCTGTTAAATGAACTCGAATTCGGATCAAATTTGGATTAAAATTTACTCCATTGCCATGCCTACTAGTACCTGCTAAAACAAAAAGAAAGAGTTTTCTCTTTTCTTCCTTTGATCTGGACTTTGACTATTATATCCAAGAAAGAGTTTCTTAATTCCTTTTATTTTTCTTTATTTTTTTGGGGATCAGGATTAGAGGTATAATCAAATAATTCTAAAGACTTTGAATAACCACCCCAGGAAAATGATTTAAAAGAGTAGCCCTGAACTGTTGTGCAGAGTCCTTAAGTCACTATTAGTCCTTATAATCAATGAGCAGAACCCTTCTGATAAATGAATAATTGGGTAATGGCCTTTCATATCAATATCAGATCAGCCATACCATGTATAAAGATGTACATCAATCATGCTCACAGATTTGTAAGATATTAGCTAAATCAACAATGTTTTAGGATCATTCATATTGAAATTTGACAGTTGGATTATTCAAAGAACCTTATGCTCTTACTCCTACAACACACAGCACAACCTGTGACCAACTGAAAAGAAGAGAAGAAACTATAAACTCTTGAGTGGAATTATTGAAAAAACTTAGACCTGAAATTTATTTTAGTAATGTTGGCATCAATAAAAACAGAGACGGGAGATTCAAAACGAATCTACGTCCCAAACTCGGTCACCTTGAGTCCTGATTTTTTTTCGGCGAGACTGTGGAAACAAGAGTTGCTGGATCTGCTTCTCAGCAGCCCTCTCGGACGTTGCCTGCAGATACAAACACATACAGAGACTGTCAGTACAATTTACGGCTTTGAATTGTTAAAAGTTATTATCCAAATGGATTGTACTGATAATAGAAACACAGCGCATGTCAACAAGTGCCAACACCAGTTTGGACATCCTTGAGAATGTTCACATTGTTTGTTTTTAAAAGCACGTATATTGTTTCTGTTCATCATTTTGCATTATGGACCAATTTTTGCACAATTATCAGAGATGCAGTAGCAGAAAGCACCAATTCTTCACAACAAAACTGGAAAAATGAAAATGAAAAAAGATTACCCCAATTATATTGGTCTACAAGTCAATATTTGAGCAAGTACCCTAATTAGTATAATTCACCTGGTTGCAGTATAAATTTTGATACCAGACCATACACCTTCTAGATGAGCACTATGTGGATTAAAGAGCCATAAAAGTACTCATGTTAATTTTGGGCAAGGATAATCCTATTGCTGAATATAGGTTAAATTAGGCCCCACAGCTTCTAGTCATGATCCTTGCCACATGGTTTTCTGATAATCTTTACAAACATAATTAGATGCTGTAAACTGATTGTATTCAAGAACTAAGTTGTTTCCTCAGGAAAACATTCAGTTATGCTGGTGTCAAGCAATTTAGCCACACGGATAGTATTGAATCTTAAAGGTCAGACAAGCAATCTGTACTGCTTACCCGGACTTTGAAGGGAAAACGATGGGTCCGTACTTCTATCCCAGAGAAAACTCTAACGTCCATGCCAAGACTGTCAACCCCAATCAAAATTGCCCCCTACAAGATCAGACTGAGAGATTTGAAACTGTCACCACAAAAGAATTGAGTCCACAAAAACAGATAACACATGTATGCCGAAAAATCTGAATATATATGCATATCAGCATATATCCCAAAACTAAAGAGGTTTTGTTGGCCATCAATGTTTTCTTATTAATGGCTATATTCTTGCCAGACATAAAGAGGTTCCTACATTTTTATATTCCTGGTTGCATCTGTATTTTTTATTTTTTATTTTTCTTTTCCGGGGGTGGGGGGCGGGCCGGGGGGGAAAGAAAAGAAAAAAACAAGGAGAGTGGTTTTCTTGCTCATGGATGTCACCTATAACAGAGCTTCCCAAAGAATGAGCAGATGTTATCGTTGAACTACTATGTGTCTAGGCGTGCGTAAGTGCAGTCAACAAAGATAAGTTGAGTGAATAGGTTTGTAAGCGTACCATCTCCCACCCCAAACTACCCACCTCCCCCAAAGACACAAAAAAAAAAAAAAATCAACCAACACAACAGCACTATGGATAGCAACAACACCATTGTACTTGCATATTGTTCATTGCCATTAAAACTATCTCTGATCGCCAAAATACTAAAGAGTGGAATGCCACGAAATTCCTTAGATGTTGAGGTCCACATCCAATCCAAGAAGTAAATTCTATCCCATAATCATTCCTTCCACTCATCTCTATCCTCAAATATTTTATTATTCTCTCCAACCAAATCACCCAAATAATGGCTAAAATTGCACAATTTCACAGGGTCAACACCCTTTCATGCTTTCTAAATCTAGCAAATCCCTCCACAAACATAGAGGAGAATGTCCCAGAATCACCCAACTCAACCCACTAGTTGAAATAATTTGCACCGTATAAACAAAGTAGGGCAATGCAAAAAGAGTCGATGCTTGCACAAGCACATCTACACATCACACACCACTGCGGAGAAATGCAAAGGAAAGGTCTTCTTCTTAGAAGCACATCATTACTGTTTAGAGTATGGTTAGCGTTTCTCAGTCTTCGTACGTAAGAGAGAATTTATATGTATATTACCCGCATGGTCAACTTCGAGAGCATATTACACCTACAAATTTGAAGTTGGTCCGAGATTGNTTGGGCAATAATGTATGTTGGGCGGGCTTGAATTTGTGATTGACCTTAGCTTGCACCGACCATAGTCCCTATGGATGTCAACCGATTGAATCTTTATTGTCTATATTCGAATTCAATAAAAAATTCGAGTTCTGAATTTTATTCATTTACTTTACGGATTTTAAAACCTTAAATCATATTTGCATTCATTAATAATTGAATATCCGGTACTCTTTAACTTTTGAAGGTTTTATCTTCTTGAAATCAAGAGTTCAAGTCCACTCTTTTCCCTCTCCGAAAAAAAATTGAATATCCAATTTAATATGAAAATTTGAATTACAACAAAAATTTATAAAAAATAAATAATTTTATCAAGTTTAAGTTAATTTTTATCCTAATTTAATTAATCAATCATTTTATTCAATAATTTTTATTTAATTTTATGTCAATCTCATTAATAACCTAACTATGTATACATATACAATAATGTCTCTCCATTATATATAATATCGAATCAAATTTTTATCAAATTGAATTTACATTTATCTAAATTCAAATTTATTTAAAAAACTTAGTTGGATTCAGGTAAATATATTAAAGGGTTAATCTCATTTTGCAATCTGAAAGATTTTTCGAATCTCAATTTACACCCCTAAAGATCAAAAATCTCAATTTGCACCCTCAAAGATAGAAATTTGTATCAATATACACCCCCAAAGATAAAAAATCTCAATTTACACCCTCAAAGATAGAAATCTGTATCAATGTGCACCTAAAACTAAATTGATAAATTATACCTAGATCCTCTCATGTTTGTCACTTAATCATTTGAACACCTTTACATTTAGAATATTACTCATACATCTCATGACGTTTGTACATGTGTAAACATAACCACTTTTCTTTGATATCTGTTAATATAATCATTAAAAAATATGATTTTATCGTAATAAAAAATTATAATTTCATATTTCCCTTTATTTTGTGGATTCGATATACTCTAAAGTTCAAAATCAAGTTTACCATTTGAATGTCTAATAGAATGTAGATATTTATATAAAGGAAAATAT